ATACACATGTAACCTTTAAAAATTGGCAGTGCTATCATTATGTAGTAGAAATACTTTATCCTCTTCATTTCTACATCTCAAGCAAATTAAAATTCAATGTACATTTACAAATATCTTTTAATGCATCAGAAACTAAGTAAGTGTAGTGCAAATGCTTAATTGTTAAATATCATTTGAATGAAAAATTTCAAGTCTTTTCATAATACTGATTCTCTTATGATAAGTTTTTCTTAATATCTACTAACCAACACACTTAACACCATCCTCATCAAGAGCATAGCCTTGATTGCAGCGGCAGGAGAAGGACCCAATGGAATTTCTGCAGCGGCCATTCTCACACATATCAGGGTATTTTGTACATTCATTTACATCTTTTCTGCCATCATAGCCATAGCTCTTTGGGCAGAGTTCTTCAAAGGCTTCTGTGCCCGGGCGTGGGCAAGCTTCACATTCCTCACCCCAAGCCTTACCAACTGTGCAACAACATATTGATTTGCGGAAGAGACCCTGAAATGCAAAAGAGACATTAAGCAAAGAGAAAATGAAATAGAAATGATCAGACAGTTCACTTCTTATCAAGAATTATATTCTAAATCTCATCAATACTGACTTCAGTTATCCTCTCATAATCATATGCTCAGAGTGAAAGGCTAATTTCTGTATTGAAAAATTTAAGAACTCTAAAGTATAATTTCAACAAAATCACAAAACCGCTGTGTTCATAAGCAATAGAAGTCCTTCCAATAATTCAAACAAACAATTTTTTTTTTTGATGATTAGCTTACCTCAAGTTCCTTTGTGCAAATACCATTCCTGTAGTCAAGGAAGCAGACTTCCTCTCTGAGATCAAGACATTTGGTCTTGCTCTCATCCAGGGTGAGGCCAGGGGGACAGTTACAGGTAAAGGAACCCTCTGTATTGACACACTCGCCTCCTCCTTGACATATTCCTGGGTTCAGTTGACATTCATCGATGTCCTGGCATGTCTTGCCATCCATCTAGATCATGAGATCAGAATGCACATAGTGTGAGATGATGAAAGAGTTCACAATGTGCTAATTATCATTACAATATATACAGGAGGTAAAGAGAAGTCTTTGTACCTTAGCAAAACCAATTGGACAGTCGCAATCAGCTGGATTGCAAACTTCACAAGGTGAACCCCATGCTTTACCAATGGTGCAGCAACACTCTGACTTGAGAGTTAATTTGGGGATATTATTTTCACATCTGCCATCTTTTACTTTTGTCCAACAGGATCCACGTCGATTATCTGGAAAAAGTAAATAACAAAGCATTTCTAATGCTGTGATACTCTAGCAGCACTTCATGACAATTCTGATAGGAGCAAAATGATGCTCTCTTAATGTCGGATGCAAATGTCAAAGTCACATGACTAAATGATAAAATACATTTGACAGAACTAGGTATAAATTATCAAATAAATACAGAAAAAAAAATATATACATTATATTATATATATATATATATATATATATATATATATATATATATATATATATATATATATATATATATATATATATACACACACATATATATATATACATATATATATTATATACATATATGTATATATTATATATATATATATATATATACATATATATATATATATATATATATATATATATATATATATATATATATATATATATATATATATATATATATATATACGTATGTATATATATATGTATATGTATATGTGTATATGTATATGTGTATATGTATATATGTATATATATATATATATATATATATATATATATATATATATATATATATATATATATATATATATATATATATATACATATATATATATATATATATATATATATATATATATATATATATATATATATATATATATATACATATATATATATATATATATATATATATATATATATATATATATATATATATATATATATATATATATATATATATATATTTATATTCATATATACATGTGTGTGTTTGTGTGTGTGTATGCCTTTTGTAATGGGGTGGTATGGAGAGAGGTAGTATTGTTGGGAGGATAAGGAAGAATAGTAGTAATAAGGCAGGTGGGGGTAGACAATGAAGAAGACTATGCAGTAGGAGAGGAAGGGGTATATTCTAAAGGTTGACTAATGACCTGGGTGGATGATTCGGAATGAATAGAGTTGACAGTAAACATTGAGGAGAGAGTATTAGTATCTGTGGTTGGAGCCGTGGCCAAAGGAGAGGCAGGGGTCGGGAAACCAATGATATCAAATTTAGATAGTTGGTTGATGAATGGGCAAGCCTTAATGCCCCTAATAAAGATAAGAAATCTTCATTATTGGCCATGGTGAGCCTAAAATAAGTAGGGAAAATAAACAGTCTACCACTACAGGTCTCCATGACGGGTAAGGGCTTGATGATTATCCAAGGGAATACCATGCCCATGGCTCCTGGAGGCCATTCATGACTGACACAAAGCCAGCCTTTCATCCTTTCAGCATGGCTCTCACACCTTAGGAAGTGAACAGAAGAAGGGGATGAAGAAGAGAGGGAAAAGGAAAGGGGGAGAAGAAAAGACCATGCAAAATTAGTTGAGGCGAGGGCTTTGGTCCAACGTAGGGTGATCCCCTACAGTGGGCCCCAGTCTCCATCTTCTAAACCCCCCCATTACAACAACAAGCAAGGGATTAGGGGGACCACTTACCAATACAGTATCTGCCAGTGGAGTCTAGAATGGTACCTTCATCACATTCACACCTATAAGAACCAATGACATTTACGCAGGTGCCTCCAACACAAGCGTCTTCCCCTAACTCATTGCACTCATCCACATCACTGCAAACGTGGGTGTTAGGATTCAGCTGAGTACCAGATGGACAGATGCACTGGTAACTTCCTGGTGTGTTCCGACACTGTAAATACACATAGGAATATCAATTATCTTCCTCCTCTGCTATTCACTGCATAAATTCAGTCTTGTAAAAAATATAACCACGTGAATAACATGCAAAAAAAAATTATGGCTAAGTGCTGACATAATATGAGCTATCATAAACAGTTTGTCCTTTTATAGGCTTCATTCTTTCTAAGTTACCCTCATATTTGGGCCTTTTGCTTGACAATGGTACATCATGTTACTGACAGGTAGTAAATCTAAATATATTGTAACTCTGTGATTTGGCTTATGATAACAACTCCATTACTAATATTTTCAAAAATGCTGTACAGGCAAAAGGCTTTATGATAACGATGAAATAAAAGAAAAACAAAGTTTAATTTTTCATGATCCTTTTGGAGTCCAGAGTCAGTACTTAAAAAAGGTCCTATTTCTTATGTCATTGTCATAAGCATTGGAAAACGGCATACATTTTATGGCTTATGTCTTCATCATAAACCCCCTAAGTCTCATCATAAGTTTGTGTCATAACTAAGTTAGCTTGAGAGGAGGTATAAGGGCTTGTGACTGAATCATAACAGTCAAGATGCCTGCTGATCAACAATTTCATCTCTGTAATCCATATTTAAATATTTTGTATAGCATATAGATATAGTTTGGTAATGTAGGTAAAAAGTAACGCAAAGTGTATAATAACATTCATGCAGTAATGCATGTTTTCTTACATGAACTAAAGTTTTGAAAGTTAAAAATATATATAGCTTCTATATGTCTAAACTACATATGTCAGACAGATTTGTTGCAACTTATTGTAATTTGCATTTGTTTTTTGTAATTATCAAATTGACTTATTATATTTAGCTTTTAGAAATAGCAGTACTTAAGTGCAAATTATTTGATATGTTTAGTGGCCCACCTTAGGTTTATGGCATACTGTTCTTTTGTTCTTTTGTTGTAGACATAAGATTGTTCCTAGTTATGATTCAGGCTTATGTCAAAAACTTAGCTAAGATGAGACTTGTGACAGAGGCATAACACTATCATAAGTACCATCCCAGGACCTGCGTAACTGCCCTGACTACTCTCCTCTCTTGGCTGTCTGAAACAAAAACAATCTTTTAAATCACGTGACCCTCATTGTACCTGACCACCATCACATAGAAGGTTGTCAATGGCACACTCATTAATGTCATGACACTGTCGTCCGCTGTCATCCACCATGTAGCCAGGATTACAGATGCATCTGTAGCCTCCCTCTAGGTTCTCACAAGCTCCATTGCGGCAAATAGCAGGATTCAGGGCACACTCATTGATGTCTGAGTAAGAAATGATGCTTTTCATAATGCAAATATAAATGGAAAAATAAAATTGTATGACTGATATAAAAGCTGCTTTTTGATATAAAAAAAATAACAATTCATCAAAGATGAGTAAAGTGCTTACCATGACCCTCGTGTGTGATGCCAAACCCATGAGGGCACAGGCCAAGGAACTCCTGGGAGCCAGGTTGTGGACAGGCTTGGCATGGTGTCCCCCAACCCATTGGCTGACCCAAGATTACCGTACAGCAGCAACAAGCAGATTTTGTGGTAGGCGTTGTCGATGGATTGGAACACTGGCCATCACGATACATGGCATAACAGAAGTCCAGTTTTGTATCTAGATGAATGAAAGTGATTTTCATGCATTACTCTCATTAAGGAAAATTGAATGTGAAATGTAACTCCTCACAATGAAGTGAAGAACTAAATCATGGAATAAGATCTTGAAAGGTTATGCACATTATATTCTACCAACAAGCAATACTTAGAGAAACTTACCAAGGCATGTGACACCATTAACCCCAAGGGTGAAACCTGGTGGACATTCACACCTAAAACTCCCTTCAGTATTGATACACTGACCATTTTTACAAGGCCCTGAGGTACACTCATCCATGTCTGGAAGATAATAAATACTTTAGCAGAGTAGTATTATTCCTAGTAATGTAACTCACTTCAGAAAAAATTATAATCACTAATCATCTCAATCTCATGGAGCTACCAAAAATATTGAGGAAACTTACCAATACAAGTCTTCCCACTAGGAGACAAGGTGTATCCAGCATGACATACGCACTTGAAGGATCCATCCATGTTAACACATGAACCATGATCACACATGCCTGTCTCACCGCATTCATCAACATCAGTGCAAAAGCTACCATCCTTGACGTGTGTGTAGCCATCATTGCATACACAACGATAACTGCCATCTAAATTCTCACAACGACCAAATAAGCAAATTCTTGGGTTTTCCTCACATTCATTAATATCTGAAAATTGTGTAGACTATTATTAGTCATAATTTGAAGAAATATGAATGTTACGTGCCTTCTGAATACCAAAATTTATTATGATATAGTTCATAAGGTTATCACAATCAGAAGATTGAGGAATATCAATAGTTTATAGAGTTAGTAAAAATAAAGTACACTACTAATAATAATACTTCTCAAAGTAAAGAAAAAATCCTTACCTATACAAGCAAAGCCTGATGAGGATAAAATGTATCCATCACTGCAAACACACTTAAAGGATCCATCCATATTTGTGCAGACACCATTTGCGCACATGCCGGTCTCACTGCATTCATCATGATCTGTCAAAAAGATTAAGGGTGATGAATATCAATAACTTTGAATTTATGATTAAAACTAGAGCAAGCAAAAAATATTAACAAATAATGGTATTAACTATACAGACAGCAACTATTTTACATTATAATTAGGAATTTTTTATTTGAAGGAAAAAGTGGTTACATCATAAGAATATTTGGTCATTTCTGAATTTAATTTCGGCCAAATACAACATACCAATACAGGTACGTCCATCTGAAGACAAGTCAAAACCAGTAGGACAGCGACATCTGAAGCTGCCTATGGTATTGTAACACTGGCCCCCACGACAAGCTCCATCCCGGCACTCATCCACATCTGTTAATAAATTCCATTAATGAAAAAATACACATCCAGATATGAAGACTACCATAGACTATCTGCAATCACCGCCATAAAATGGATCAAGCTGGATTAAGCCTCACCGACACATCTGTCTGAAGGTTGGATGTTGGTGAATCCCTCGTAACACTGGCAGATGTAGCCAGTGGCTGTATCAATGCAATGACCTCCTTCACCACACTGACCAGGATTTAGAGTGCACTCGTCCACAGGAGGCATAAGAGACCCTGGCTGATCACAGAGACGCTGGTACAATTCTGTGCATGTAGGAAATGAAGTGTCATGTCTCAAGATAATACATCAAAAGGAGAGTGATCTACATTTGGATAAAAAGAGCTGTATTGTGGGAAAGATATGGATATATATGTAATTAAAAAAAAAACTAATACTATCAATATTCCCTTTCTGCTTCATAATAGGTACTCAGTCATAATACTAACATTCAGATTAATAAAAGAATAATAACAACTATAATAATGCATCCTAACCACTATATACTAACTCTTACCTTCTCCAGGCATAGGACAAGGCACGCAGTCATTGTGCCCTTCACCCCAAGCCTTCCCCATATTCTTGCTGCAACAGCAAGCATGACGCGTAAGGGGTATGGCTAGTGGCTTTCTGCACCGATTATTGCTATTGATTTCCGTGTAGCAAAATCCTTGGCGTGCATCTATGTATATACAAGGATATATTATAAGTATGCTTAGATTTTAATTAACTTTTGCTAATGCTTCTCTAGAAGACACAAAAACAAAATGATGTTGATATAAGGGATAATAATATCTTACAAATACTTTTCAATTTTTTTTTTAGCTGAATAATAGGTGCCAAAAAATATTTGCAAATGCCCTTCTATTAGCATTCTCTATGTATCAGAGATTATGTTCAGATCTAATAATGTTCATATTAAAGATACCTCAGAGAGAGTTGTTTATAAGGTTTTAACTTACCATTTTAACAAAACAATATCTTGCCTAGGTATGTGATGAAGAAAATGTGATAAAAATCCATTACTGATAATCCTTTACAAAATAATTATCATTCTCACATATTAGGTTTGGGTCATCATTACGGTTATAATCACGGCAAAAATTATGCATTTTCTCTGCATAAGTTGATTAATACCAAACTTATGAAGTACTATAACAATAAAAACAAATAAACAAATGGTTCATCATACTAAAGAATAATCTTTATTACAAATACTTTCAATAATTCACTTCTGAAAATAAGTAAGGAAACTTACCAATACATTTTTTACGATCCTGACTAGGAATGAAGCCTGTATTGCAGCTGCAATAGAAACTCCCATCTGTATTAACACATTGACCATTCTCACACTGGTCTCCCTCAGCACATTCATCTCGGTCTTCACAGGCATTGGTCTCTGGGTTTCTTGCCTGTCCTTCTGGACACTCACAAGTAAAAGACCCTATGCTGTTGACACAAATACCTCCTTCACACAAGCCTGGAATGGCTTCACATTCATCTATGTCTGTGAGGTTAAAAGAAAAGAATTTTTATATTTCAAAGGACTTTAAAATTAAACAATATATAAATGTGACCCCCTTTGTAAACTGCATGACAAAGATTTAGTTTAATGTCTATTCACATACACATTCGTCATTAATATGTATCTTGATATCAATTGCAGATTACTCTAATCACATACATATTTATTTACTTGAATATTTAGTTTTTACCACAATATCTGAAATTCCCAACACATAATTTTTTGGGACTTACATCAAGAAATACTATAAAGTTCATTAAAGAGACACCATGCTGTTATCAAACCACTCACCAACACAATCTCCACTGTGTATGTTTTTCAGGAAACCCTTATTACAATCAAGTCTTGATGGGCAGTGTTCACAGGGGTGGCCCCATGCTTTGCCTATTGTAGCACAGCACAACTGCTTGGTACAAACAACTCCAGGAAGCTGTCCCTGGCACATATCATGCTGAACTTTGGTAAAGCATGGGCCAGTACGGTAATCTGGAAAATGTAACTTTGATGCATTCATTCTAATTTGATCAAGCCTTAAAGGCATGAAGAAAGAGATTAATAGACAGCAAAATGAATCTTCAGTAGAATCTGTAATTTACGGACTTATATCTTCATGAGCAAAATCAGATAAGTATCATGGCTTACCTGCTTCACATCTGCGGCCAGTAAATCCGTAAACACAGGCACAACGATCTGGGCCCACACACTTTCCACCATTAAGGCATGGTTCATGACACACAGCTGTGAAATATAATTTTTTTTTTTACTATCAAACTGTTTGTTACCCAATTTAAGTTGCATCTCAAGGGAGAATACCTATTTTTTGTAATATATACTGTAAACAAATCTCTTATGCTGGGAAATTTATACTTTATGGCAAAAGAAGAGAAATTTGGTGTTTGCTATGTATTGTCCATCTGGCTATATTATGAAGAGTCATTAATACACCATCCTGGGCGCAGTAACTACCAGTTTCTTGTATGCACAGCTGAAAATTATTATATATGATACTATTCAGCTAAACTGATTTAGTAAAGAGTATTCCCTTAAAATCAATGCTCACTACACATATTAATATCAGGAAAGACATGTTAATGCTTAGTCATATTAAATACAAATTAGTAAAGACAGAGTCTGGAAACTATGAAACAATGATGGATATTACAGCTCTGAACACATACATTATTATAAGTTACAAGTTGCAGAGCACAGACAACTTCCAGGTGTAGCAAGCATCTAAAAGGAAAATTAGATTAGACTACAATAATCAATGTAAAAAGATTAAACTGTTAAAGTCACTGTCTGATTCTTGGGATATCTAGCAAGTATGCACTGTTGTACAAGTTAAATGTTTGAAAGTTTAAAATGGTCTTGTAAGTTTACTCATGGTGCTTGATTATAAGTGACATCCCTAAAAAAAAAATTACTTCAGTATATCTGATTGTGTTTTATAATTTTTTTTTTTTTTTTTTTTTTTTTGTATAAGGAATGCATGCACAAAAGCACACACATACATATATACATACAATAATGCACATGTCCATACACATACAAACATACAAACACACAAACACACAAAAGAACACACATGCACATGCATAGGCACAAGCATACAGGCACACACGCACGCACGCACGCACACACACATACACACATATACTCACACACACACACACACACACACACACACACACACACACACACACACACACACACAAAAACCATTTGCATATGCACACATTGCAAATAAACACAAAAATGCAAACAAACAAGGCCACACACACACACACTCAAGTGTGTGAACACACAAAAAAAGAGAAAACACATTCGTTTGCATATGCAGACTGTAAACAAACACAAATACAGAAACAAAAAAACAAGCATCCGCATCAGACACACACACACACTCACACACACACAAACTAGTAGCTTTTTATAATTATCTATAACCTATAAATATTTATTAAATTCCCTTTCCCTGATATACTACTTTGAGCACATCTAATGAACATTCAATACCTTCCTTCATTTCCTGCTATTTCTCTCCATTGATTCTGTACTACTTTTCTGTTAGCACAATACCATCTTTTTTTATTTATATATATATTTTTTGCTACTGCAGATCTCTAATATAAATTTCTGATTTTTAACAACACCACTTCTTTTAATCATGACTGATTTCTGAGTGGTCAGTTTATATAGCTCCATTGATTTTGTTCAATTCCTAGCCCATTTTGGTTATATCTCATTCAATCTATGGCTTTCAGTGATTGTCAACTGTGCTTTATAATAGCCTCAGACCACCACTGAAATTACTGGAAGTTATCTGTTTTATTTAAAGGATCATAAACTCATGTAAACTGTTAATTTATAAGTAGTAATGACAATATCTGATACCACGATAGTATTGTTTAATTTGTGAGAAGACACTCTTTGCTCTTATTGAAATTTTCTTTCCAGGAAAATTTCTCTTATTTTTGTATGCTGTGTAATTCATATCTAGTAATCAAATTGTCCTGTCCACATATGAATGGAGCAAAAAAATGAAAGAATCTGTCTATGCAGGATATAGCCGGGCCATAGCTGAAGGCCCGGGCAAAGCTAGAACTTTGCAAATCACAATCGTCTTTGCAGGATATACCATACAAAAAATGCCCAAAACTGTGTGAACTGATTTACAAACACACCAAGTTAGGATGGGTCTCTGAAAGATGAAACAATATATTTTTTATCATTCTACTGACTTTTAACATGGGAATATCTTAAAAAAGAAGAAAGAAAAATGATCCCGGGAAAATACAAAAGTCTCAAACACTATAAAAGAAGAATGAAGAAAAAGAAGAGTAACTAAAAATCTTGATTATCTCTTTTCTTTATTAACAGTTACTTGATAACCAGTTTGTCCATCATGTTTCATTCAACTTAGAGGAGAATTCTTAGCATTATTACTGTGATGCAAATTCTGGTTTGGTCCATTAAGGCATACAGGAAACATTTAACTATTGTAGATGAGTTAATGTCTGGAGTTACAGCAGATTTCACTCACTACATGCAGGTTTACTTGAACTTTAATTAAAAATGAAAATTTAAATTGACACAAGAAGACACACCAGTTCAAGAACAAAAGCCAGTCAACTTGGTCAAAGATAAACTGTTCAGTTAAATAAAATCTGAGCCAGAAGCTGTATAGCAATCATGTGTACTACAAGAGTAATATCAACAACAATAGACACTAAAATAAGAGCAGCAGGCACAATCATACCTGAAGGATCAAGTACAATGGACAAAAGCATAAATAGATACTATCTTAATTACTGTGCCTGCAATTAAACCAATTACATCAACACTGGAGAAACACACCACTTTTTTGCCAAGGACCTAAGATCTAGTAGACTTCTTGCAATTACTATGAAAACATAACAACTAGATATAGTACCTAAAGTTTTGGAATCAGTCTACTAATTAGTGGCTGTATTTCTTTTACAAAGACACCTTTGTCAGCTAGTTTCTTTAGCTATGGAAATTGCTTTCTGTACCTTTAAGTGGTTGCAGTAAACAAGAAATTCATATTTATAAAAAAATTAAATGAAATTTTTAATATGACACTATACATATGAGACTATGTCTATGGAACCAATCAGTGATGTTCTTAAACAGCTAAAGAGAAGCAAATGCAACCATCAATCAAAATCTCAATAACACAATAAATAAGATAAAAAAAATTGAAAGATACGGAAAGTGAAGTATCTCAACATTAACTACATTAGTTATGCTCTGATCATGAACAAAGGAGGTAGGAAACATGACATACTATGTGGATTTTATTGTGGTTCTTATAGTTCTGTGAGAAGACTTAGCTTCTGTTAACAGAATACACTTTAAAGACTTCAAATGATTAGCCCAGTTCATGGCTTTACTAATAGCTACGGAACGTCAGCAACATCTTGGTTTTGAGTCTTAATAAATTTGCAACAGAAAATTGGAAGATTGCTACAGCAAATGTAAAGCACTACAAGATTAGTCTCACATATTTATTCTAGCCTGCTTTTTATCTGTTGCCACGAAACTAAGAGAGACCAGTCTCAATATTATAAATGAATAAAATGGTTGCAGTTAAAGACATTTAAGTCACAGTCAAGACAGATGTACACTAATAAGAATCTTTTAGACCTGAGCTGGGTTAATGCTGCAGTATTGAGAAATAAAACACCATAACAAAATAACACAGACGTCAACAGAAAGCAGAGAACCAAAGTGGACAGAATCAAAGACATGTAATTGTCAGAATAGTAGGGTTTTAACTATTATAGTAGCATATGTGAATGCACTAGCAATGGTACAAGTAGTACTCACGCTGAGCACAATGGTCACCAGTGAAGCCTGGCCGACACACACACCGGGTCCCCTGGCAAGTACCTCCATTGAGGCATCTTGTCTGGCATCCTAAACCTCCTGCAACAGATCCTATAGTTGCTAACAACTTTTCTAATTCACAATTTTAACCTGATATGATAATTTTTTTCTATAGTTCAAGACTCTTTTTTTTACTTTTCCACAGCTACAGTTTTTTAACTTAGCGCACTTATACACTCGTCCTATTATTTGAGTAACCACAATCTGATTTCCAGCAAAATTTAGAAAATTACATCTTTGGTAATAAATTATTTCAATTTTTTGTAATGTTAATGTTAACATAAAATATGCATTAGTAACACTCATATTCTGAACCTGTTATCAGTAAATTAGATTTTCCATTAAATTCTCCTCTACTTGTATATAGCTTACAGGAGAGAGAAAAAAATACTTAATAATTAAAAGGAGCAAAATAGTACTATGAACAATTGCCTTTCACAGTGATTTTAATGAACTGGTAAGCAGTAATCTAAAAGACAGACAGCCTACTTAAACTAAGATGGCATCAGATATGGTAACAAAAAAAAACAAAATGTACATAATATAAATATAAACATTGTATATATATATATATATATATATATATATATATATATATATATATATATATATATATATATATATATATACATACACACACACGCACACACACATATATATATACA